AACAAGAAATTCCGTATGAGGGGCAAATTAAAATGGAAGTCTCCGAAGTTCAGTTTTATTCTAAAGTTCAAATGTCAGTGGCCCACCGGTGGGCCACCCGGTCTCGATAGATTCTGTTTTGCGTGCAGCAACACTGACTGAGCAGTGGCCCTTTTTTCATTCTTTTTTCATTCCTTTTTCTCGTTCATTTCACTTGAATTTTTTATAACTATTTTTCAATCTGTTCTCACACTTCCAAGCGTTGGTCGCGGTAAGGGTATTATACGAGAAAAGCTACCAAAGGTGCGACCAATTGCACAAACATTACTGTTCGGGGTGTTTCAGAATCATCCGAATAGCCAGAACCCATTGAAATTGCCAAACGATGCCGCAGATGCTGATGGGCATGGAGCTATTCGGACGCAGGACGCAGCTGAAGAGGCATTCGAACAATTCCAAGGGGTTAGTCCTCTATGAGTCGTCTCTTACACTGCTTCTGTGTGTAGAATTTTGTTGATCCATTATTTATTTCAGACTTTGACCCATCTTAATGAGCTCATGCGGCTTTGCATGGAGCGAAACCTCCACGAGCCCATGTTGCATTGCGTAGCTGCGACTAAAGGGAGCAAGCCCAAAGACTGGAGGAAGTGACAGGGTTGAACCAATGCACCGCGCCCAAGCAAGAACTAGGGAGGGAGCCGAAATCAGAACCATTAGAGATGGATAGCACTGTAAGTTCCAAGCGATAATTTTGTTATCTGAATTTCTAAGCTTTTCTATAATTGCTGTTTGCGGGGAGGGCGTAGATGTGGTGGCAAAATAGTTGAGGCTCATTTCGTGTAAAAAGGTCGAAACGAGTATCATTCATAGGGAAATTCAACTTATCTCAACAAACAATTGCAAAATTTTCCGTTCGGTTCAACCCCATGAACTCATAAACTTGACAACCTTCATCAAACAGACCTTAATTAAAGACATCGACTTCGAGCATAACACCCACCAAAATTTCATCTCATACTTTTAAACAGCGGCTTTTAGCGATCCATTTAAACTGTGCTTTGTGCGGTTCTTCTGTATCACAAAATACGCTACTTGCATCTTGGGAAATTTGGCTGGCTAATCTGCGCCCGACTTGAAGTTCGAAAAATTAAGTTGGCATCAGATTTTTAACAAAGAGTAATCCAGTCCGCAGGCCAGCGCACCCGTTTTGATGATGAATTTAATTGTAACAAGTGGTCAAACTGACTACAGCTTCTTTCTATTTTGGATAGCCTTTGGATTACATTACTTCTTAATCGCTAACGAATCGCTAGATTCGCAAAGTCTGACATCGGCCTTACAGAGTCCTGGTTAATTTTAGACGGGTGGATCATCGGTCGAGAAGTACATATCAGGTGGGCGGGGTTTACCATAAACCGCTCCAAAGACATCGGTGGCCCTTTTCCTCCGAACTGATTATATATAAGGACTATAGTGATCGTTCGTCTAACCAGAAATTTTCCATGCAACTTTGAATTAAGATCTAGCTGAATTAACAGAGCCCAGAGTTAGTCACAAAGATGAAAGCAAAACTGCTACGCGAAAGTGCAACGTTGGTGTAATTTTTTCACAAGAGCCTGGTTGCAAGGGATTCTGATGACCCTGATTACGAAGGTGACATTATTCTTGGCGCAGACGCCATTTGGCACCAATCTGGAAGCGCCAACCTAGAATGCAAAATTTTGTCACCACGGGGAATCGAACTTGGGACCACTTTGATCGCTAACAACTTCCTTGACAGGTTCACGTAGCAGTTTTGGTCTTCACATTTGTAACCATCATCCAGGCTCTATCTATTTACCCAGGTCTCAATTCAAAGTTCATGGGAATTTGAAACTCCTCCCTTGGAGAGAGTGCTCCCGTTGTTGAGTGGCTGCGCTTTTAACCCTTTGACGACCGTGTGGCCCGCCGGTGGGCCACACTTTCGCTCGGTGGCGACACGTTTTTAGGGGTTTATTTTGGCATTTTTTATGTTTCAAAACTACACAAATACATTATCGAATTCGCGGAATAATGCGCTAATTACTAATAGTGAAATTGTTGGAGAGTTAATGATTATTGATGAAAAAATTTAGAAAGAAGTGAAGTGACGCATTCATAACGGCGGTCGTCAAAGGGTTAAAATAGAGTTCAAAGAGAAAAAATATAGTAAAGTTCC